GAATACTTACTTAAGGATGTTATTGCAGCATTATGTATAACTGAAAAAAATTGAAAAAAATAAATAACCTAAATGTTTAATAGCAGAATTTTAGTTAAATAAATTATGGTACATCTATGTAGGGAATTAATATACAGTCATTCAAGATAATGCTGACAGTATAAGGAATATAGTCAATGCCATTGTAATAGTGATGTATCAGATCAGATGGTAGCTATACTTGTGGTGAACTTAGAATAATGTAGGGAGCACCTGAGTGGCTCAGTTGGTTAAGCGTCCGACTTTTGATTTTGGCTCAGGTCATGATCTCGTGGTTAGTGAGATCAAGCCCTGTGTCAGACGCACATCATCTGAACAAAGCAACCTGGGATTCTCTCTCTCCCTCTCCCTCTGTCCCTCCCCTGCTCATTCTCTCTCTCTCTCTCAAAATAATCTTTAAAAAAATAATAATAATGTATAGACATGTTGAATCGCTATGTTGTACATCTGAAATGAATGTAAAATTGTATCAACTATACTCAAAATTTATTTTTTATTTTTGTTAATGTTTATTTACTTATTTTGAGAGACAGAAAGCATGAGAAGGGGAGGGGCAGAGATAGAGGTAGAGAGAGAATCCCAATCAGGCCTCGTGCTGTCAGCACAGAGCCCAACATGGGGCTAGATCTCACTAACCATGAGATCATGACCAGAGTTGAAATCAAGAGTCAGACGCTCAACTGACTGAGCCACCCAGGCGCCCCGACTCAATTTTTTTTAAAATGCTGATGCAAATCATTCCAGTTATCTATTGTTACATGAAAAGAATCACCCAAAATTTAGTGTCATACAGTAATAATTATTGCAGGCAAGATCAACTAATGGATACTAACATTAATGGACAACAGGTTGAGGAAAGATATTTGCATAAAGTATCTCACCCATGATATTTATTAATTATAAAAGGAAAATTAGTAACTTTACAATAGAGAAACATAGCAGACACTACCTTAACCAAGTTTTCAAGGTTACTATCACCAGTAACATCAGAACTTAACCTTAGGTACCCTGAGCGTGACTGATCAAGAGCCCATAACTTCTGGGGTATTCTTGCCAAAAATGCATTAACTCTGTCTAATCAAGGGAAAACATCAGACAAACTGAAACTGAAGGATATTTTACAAAATAGCTGACCAGTACTCTCCAAATGCGTCAAGACCATGAGAGACAGGGAAAGATGGAGGAACTATCACAAATTAGAAGAGACTAAGAAAACACAACAACCAAGTACAAAAGGGGATCCTGGGTTGGATACTAGAAAATAAAAAGGACATTAGTGGAAAAACCAGTGAAATTTTAAGAGGGTCTGTAGTTTAATAGAATTATACGCACATTAACTTCTTAATGTTGATCACTGTAAAGTCAACCCTTGAACAACATGGGGGTTAGGGGTGCCAAATCCCCATGTAGTTGAAAATCCATGCATAACTTTTGACTTCCCAAAGACTCTACTAATGGCCTACTGTTAACCAGAGGCCTTACCAATAATATAAGCAGTCAATTAACATACACTTTGTATGTTAAATGTATTATATCTTGTATTCTTAAATAGAGTAAGCTAGAGAAAAGAAAATGTTATGAAGAAAATCGTAAGAGGGGCTCCTGGGTGGCTCAGTCGGTTAAGTAACCGACTTCAGCTCAGGTCATGATCTCACGGTTCATGGGTTCCAGTCCCGCATTGGGCTCTGTGCTGACAGCTCAGAGCCTGAAGCCTGCTTTGTACTCTGTTTCTCCCTCTCTCTCTGCCCCTCTCCTGCTCACACCCTGTGTCCCTCCCTCTCTCTCAAACATAAACTTTAAAAGCACTTTTTTTAAAGAAAAGAAAATAAGAGACAATGCATTTATAGTACTGCGAAGAGTCCACATATAAATGGACCCATGAAGTTCAAACCCATGTTTCTCAAAGGCCAACTGTACTATGGTTACACAAGATACTAACATCAGGGGAGGCTGGGTAAAGAGCAAACAGGAACTCCATGTACTATTTTGAAATTTTTCTGTAAGTTTAACATTACTCCACAACAAAAAGTGAAAAGAAAAAGAAAAAAACAAAAACAAAAAAACTTAGTGGCACAAAACAGTGACCATTTTATTATGCTCATGATTCTGTGGGTCAGTAATATGAGGGACACACCAGGAATGATATGCCCCTGCTCCACCATGAAGGAGGCCTCAGCTGGGGGGCTGCACTGGGCTGGAGATGTCTGTGACAGCTCACCTGAGACCGTGTGTCTGGCCTTGGCTATCCTCTACATGACATTTGTTAGGAATGCAATGGCCAAGTTGGCTCCTTCTTTCACATCTCTGGTGCCGGCCAGAGATGCTGATCAGGCAGTGTATTAGTTTCCAGGGGCCGCTGTAACAAGTAACTGTGGAATGGATGGCTGAAAACAATAGCAATTTATTCTCTCCCAGTTCTAGAAGCTAGACATCTGGAATGAAGATGTCCACAAGGCCGTGCCCCTCTGAAGTCTCTAGGGAAGAATCCTTCCTTGCTTCTTCTCAGCTTCTGGTGGCTCCCAACGACCCCTGCCATTCCTTGGCTTGTAACTACATCATTCTAAGCTCTGCCTTTATCTTCACATCACCTTCTTCTTAACCACGTCATTGTGTCTCTGTGTCTTCTTTTCTTACAAGAACGCCAAACTTCAGCTTTAGGGCCCACCTAATCCAGTAAGATCTCATCTTAACTAATCACATCTGTAAAGATTCTATTTCCTTTTGTTTCTTTGTTTATCTATTTATTTTTGAGAGACAGAGAGAGAGTGAGAGAGAGCACGAGTGGGGGAGGGGCAGAGAGAGAGAGAGAATCGCAAGCAGGCTCCTGTCAGCACAGAGCCTGACATGGGGCTCAATCTCAGGAACCATGAGATCATGACCTAAGCTGAAATTAAGAGTCAGATGCTTCACCAACTGAGCCACCCAGGCACCCCTGCAAAGATTCTATTTCTAAATAAGGTCACATACTGAGGCTCCAGGTAGACGTGAGTTCTGGTGGAACACTACTGAACTCACTGTAGGTCAGAACTGGCCAACATCACGTCCTCTGGGTAGCCTTCATATGGCTTGTTTGGACTTTCTCACAGCATGGCAGCTTCAGGGTAGTCTGACTCCTTACAGGATGGCTGGCTTTCCTCTGAGTGGGCCTTCTAAAAAGAGAAGCCGAAACTGCCAGTCCTTTAACGGCAAGGGCTGGAACTGGTGGTGTAGGATTACTTCTGCTGTACTCTATCAGTCAATGTAGTCCTAGCCCAGCCCAGACTGAAAATACAGGGAGAAAGAGACCCCATCCCTATCAAGGACTGGAATGAACATCATAGAGGGAAGGAACTATGGCAAACATCTTGGAAACAAACTATCACACAGTTCTGCCCTTACTGACAGCTAAGGGTGCCCGTGAGATAAAAATTAGTAGGAAACAGATTACAAAACACCATATATATAATTTGATCTCATTTTTATTTTTAAAATATATATAGATATCTGCATGGTAAATGTCTCAAAAGATAAAGAGTAAACAAAAATATTAATAATGATTATCTCTGCAAGTTAAGAATTACGGTGATTTTTTTTCTTCCAGTTTATCAATATTTTCTAATACAGATTATGCATGTATTATTTCTATAACCAAATAGAAGAAGTAGAAAGTAAATGATCTATTATTTTAATAGGCAAATCATTTTGGGGGCTTTTTTTAATGCCTTTTATTTATTTTTGAGAGAGAGAGCATGAGTGGGGGAGGGAATGAGAGGGGAAACAGAGGATCCAAAGCAGGCTCTGTGCTGACAGCAGTGAGCCCCATGTGGGGCTCAAACTCATGAACCTTCCTAAGCCAAAGTCAGACACTCAACCAACTGAGTCACCCAGGTGCCCTTAGTTTTTGGTGTTTCAATTAGGATATATAAATGGTAAATTTCAACAAAGCCAATCTAGATATACATCTGTCTAGGAGAAACTCAGATTCATTTTTTTTTAAGTCCTTAGTCATAGAAAGGACAACCCAGATAGGGCACTCACTTCCTAGATAGAAACATTTGGTGCATTCTAAATCCAAATCCCCTGGGCCCAAGCAGCTTTTGAGCTCTCACCGCTGGATCCAGAAAGAAACAAACCTCAAGGAATTTCATTCACATCAAAACTCATGCTAACCATCAGCAATAGTCTGAGTCAGGTTGTTGAGGCTCTGCAATGTTAGACACTCACTTTGCAAAAGACAAATGGATCCCAGGAGTCTCAGAGAAATCAGGGGCCCCTGCTTAGAGTCAGTTTTACCCCCCAACAGTATTGGATAACCATTTACGCGATGCAGACTAAAGGATTTCCAAAGCGTCCTGCCAAAAACCTAGCAACCACTTCCCAATCCCCCAAATTTTCACCACTGTATAAGGAAGCTAAAGGCTACATGACTCTATCACACTTCTTTGGGTGAAGAAGGAGGAAGAGAAGATAAAGGAGGAGGAGAAGGAGGAGGAGGAAAGGAAGAATGATAAATATACATACACACAGATGGCAAATTAGAAACATGCATAATGATTTGGCTGGTCTCAAAAACAAGACTGGAAGAGAACAGGAAACAGGACGGATTTTTATGAAAGGGATGGCAGAAGCCTGAGTGACACATCGTGGGAGGATTCTAGGCAGTTAGGAGACTGCATAGACTGGGTGTCTAGAGGCCTCTTAGAGGCACAGGAAGTAAAGGCAAAGACATATTGTGTCGATTTCCCAATTTTTCACTGCCCTGTCCCCCTCACTGTTGAACAGGTACAAACCCGAGAAGCCTCTGAAACTTACCGATGCTCAGGAAAGTTCCATATAATCCTACCTAATGTGATCATTTCCCATAGAGAAGAGTTAAACTCACAAAGAAAAAGAAAGAATAACTTAACTGGGAGTTTTACTTTAATTCAAATATTCTATGACTCTGAGATTTAAAAAAAAAAAAAAAGATAAATTTTACTCACCGACAGTTTCTTCTGATGCAGCAGTCAAAGCTAGAAACTTTTTTGTATTTTCCGTCTCCTCATTACTTTGCAAAGCTTCACTAGTTTTTGCAGACTAATAAAAGAGAAACAAGGAAAAGAAGGCAACTACACTCTTCAATATTTTGTACAGTTTCAACATGGATTACAAATTGTGTAATTTGTAATTCCACAATTGACCTGAACAAAAAGGGACAGGTCATTTTTATCCCTTTAAATAGGAAATCTATTAATATCCCTGTTCGCACAAATTCTAGCAATGAATAGTCCCAAACAGAGTTGTAATATATGTCTATCATTATATAATCATTATCTCGCTTAAATCTTCTTCAGCTTCTGTTTAATATTTCCATAACTACTGAGTAGCCTAAAGGTCCATCATGAAATTATAGTTTCAGACATTTCAGGATTGATACTATATTTTATTATGGGTCCAATTATTATTCCTGTTTCCAAACAAGTAAAACTTTGCTTTGAGATTCAACAGGAATAAGTGATAGGCTAACTTTTTATGACAAATTTATACAAATCACTTCTCTAGTTTAAATTACTGCATTGTGTATGGTGTTTTCTACTCCATGGTCTTCCTGGGAATCTTGTAAAAATGTATTCTTTGTCACTTCATTATTAATGCAGAGCATCATCTAGGAAATGTCCTTGAAGTCAGTCGACTGAGAAAGGAAGAATTTATCAAAAACAACTCATCTGTTATTACAGTGCTCCTTACCTAAAAGTGCTCTCCTTTACGGGACAAAGTTCAAATATGAACCAATGGCTAAATGTCAAGTCAGAGCAAATATATGGTCAACTTCCACCCCTCAATACTACAGAGAATAAAGGTCCAAGAAGGCCAAGGAAAGTTAATCGAGCACTAGAGATGTACTGAGACAGAAGCAAATAGAGCATGGTCACAGACCACAAGCACTTTACAGCTTCTAAGAGGTCTTGACCAGCATGTGAAACAGTGAACACCTCACTTCTTGGTCACAAAAGTTTACTTAAAAAATAATGGCGACCAGGGGGTTAAATTTGTGTATATTTATGTGTTTATCTCCAAACCGTAAGCTTGCTGAAGAAGCAGCAAACAGACTTGATGAAAGTAGGGACCCCATCACTTTCTGCTCCAGAAACGGAGGAACCCCAGCCTGACACTGGTAAGAGAGGTCTGCTGTGCTGCCCATGGAAAACAAACATGGCAGTGTGGTGCCTGAAATCTGGAATTCTGCAAAGTTACCTTGTCTAGTTCCAGAAAACGATCTCCCTCACCTCCCCCCCACACACACACATGCATATACACACCACCATCCTACTTCTACAAAATAAATCAATAAAGGCAGACCACATTAATACTACCACAGTCCATGCTTTTCTTACTCATCTCAGAGGAAATTATTTCTTCCACATCAGCAATGGTGAGACAACTCTTACCTTAAGTTCTTCCCACAGCTTTATTCTCAGGTCTAGACCTTGCTTCTTAATTTCTTTTTCTCTGTATTGTTTCTTCACCAATATTTTATCAAGCCTCTTCATCTTCTGAATAGCATCTTGAAGTTGAGAATCTAATTCTTTTAATTCAGGTTCATCTATATTGTGTTGAAAGTAGGAATGAGCTTGAAGTTTGGTACAACCAGAAAGTTTCGTTTTGTTTTTACTGTTTGTTCTTTCATTCAACACATGTTTATGGCTGGTGAGAACAACTGACATATTTTACAAGGTGCTTTCACACATATTTTTTCATATGATTATCGAACAACCTATGAAATATAATTATCTAACAACCCGGTTTTACAGCTAAAATAACTATCTTTTCTTTTTTTTTCCTTTTTGAAAATTTTTTTGAGTATAGTTGACACACAATGCTACAGTTTCAGGTGTATAACACAGTGATTCAACAACTCTGTAGCAGGCTATGCTCACCACAAGTATAACTACCGTCTGTCACCATACAATGCTGTTACAGTGTCATTGACTATACTCCATATGCTGTGCCCTTTATCCCCATGACTTAATAATTTCATAATTGGAAGCCTGTATCTCCCACTCCCCTTCACCCATTTTGCCCATTCCCTAACCCCCTGTTTCTGACAACCATCACTTTGTTCTCTGTATTTACAGGTCTCATTCTGCTTTTTTGTTTGTTTGTTTGTTTATTCATTTTTGGTTTTGGGGATTGCACATATAAGTGAAATCATACGGTATTTGTCTTTCTCAGTCTGACTTGTTTCAATTAGCATAATACCCTCTAGGTCCATCCATATTGTCACAAATGATAAGATTTCATCATTTTATGGCTGCCTTATGTTCCTCTGTGTGTGTGTGTGTGTGTGTGTGTGTGTGTGAGAAAGAGAGAGAGAGAGAAAGAGAGAGAGAGAGAGAGAGAGAATGTACACAACATCTTCTTTATCCATTTATCTATTGATGGACACTTGAGTTGTTTCCATATCTTGGCTATTGTAAATAACACTACAATAAATATAGGGGTGTGTATATCTTTTCAAATTAACATTTTCATTTTCTTTGGGTAAATACTCAGTACTAGAATTCCCGGATCATATGGTACTTCTATTTTTAATTTTCTAAAAAAATCCTCCATACTGTTTTCTACAGTAGCTGTACCAATTTATGTTCCCACCAACAGTACATAAGGGTTCCTTTTTCTCCACATCCCCGCCAACACTTGGAAATAACTCTGTCCTTTCAAATAGCTAATAAATTATGGTATTGAACTCACAGGTGGGTCTTATCTCATTTTCAATCCCAAAATATTTCTCCTTCATTCTGGTATACCTTCTATATTCATAAGTAAGGAATAAGGAATAAGACAAAGGCCCTATCCTAAAACTGCTTCAGACTAAAAAGAGAAGGCATGTAGCTATTTGTGAAATCGATGCAGCAAAATGTAACATGTCAAGAAATGAAATTATTCCAACACAGAGAAACAAATTCAGAAAAGCTGTAACTAGACAGCTTTTATCTATGCCCCTCCCATTTGTTTTTTTTTTTTTTTTTTTTTTTTTTTTTTTGAAGTACCTAAAAATGGATAATTGGTAGTAACTTATTTAAAGCTAAGGGCTCTTTAGAACTTTCTTCACTCAAGTTTGTTTTTTTTTTTTTTTTAACGTTTATTTATTTTGGGGACAGAGAGAGACAGAGCATGAACGGGGGAGGGGCAGAGAGAGAGGCAGGCACAGAATCGGAAACAGGCTCCAGGCTCTGGGCCATCAGCCCAGAGCCCGACACGGGGCTCGAACTCACGGACCATGAGATCGTGACCTGAGCTGAAGTCGGACGCCCAACCGACTGAGCCACCCAGGCGCCCCTCTTCACTCAAGTTTTAACTTATGATTAATGATAATGTTAATAATAGCAGCTAACATTTATAGAATTATCTGATATGCTCAGTGTTAAGGGCTTTATTTACAGGCATTGTGTCATTTAATCCTCATCATAATCCTGTCAGGTAGTATAGTTATTGTCCCATTTTACAAATTAGTAAACTGAGAATAATTTGTAACTGAGTTACATACACGTCCAAGATGATATAAGTAGTAAATGGCAGGGCCAGTTTCCACCCAGATCTGTCTGATTTGAGAGTCAAAACTCTTCACCACCAGGTAATATGTCCTCTGTGAAGTCTGATGAAAGATGTTAATCTGGCAATGAGCATAAATGCTCAAATACTGAAGTCTCAGCCACTCCAGTTTAGGAAGTGGCATATTATGCTAAGAAAGACCAAATTTTGCAACTTTTTAAAATCCAAAGAGTCCAGTGTGTTTCCCTATAATGTACATCACTTCCTCTTCAAGGAAAAGGGGATATTTTCAGAAGGGAACTAGCTCATCCAAAAAGAATACTGATCTTATTGATAAGGAGGCTCTAGAGATCTTGTTGCTTACATATTTCAAATGCAACAGCCTTTAGTTATTCCCAAATGCCAATCCTTGCACTCCATATACAGAGGTGGTCTAAAGGGCAGACATCTGGAAGTAACTCATGCAGTTCCAAAACAGTATAAATAATTTCAGTGTAAACTGGGCCAATAGCTAATCGCAACTATAATGCCTCATTTCCTGATAACTATAATCCTGAGTCACCAGGCCCAATTTTGAGAGCGAAACTCATCCCAAATATACTCTTAAGTCACCATTTCTCAAAGTTTATGACCTCAGCTTCCCTTTACAACCTTAAACGTTATTGAGAACCCAAAGTAGCTTTTATGTTATATCTATTGATAATTACCATGTCGGAAATCAAAACTGAAAAATATATATTTATTTATTCATTTAAAAATAATAAACATGTTATTAGTAATTACATGCTAACATAAATATAACATTTTTATGACAAGTAAGTATAGACTCCAAAAAAATTAAGAAGGGCATTTTTTAAAATTTTTAATATCTAGCTGAACAGAAAACAGTTGGATTCTTATATCTGCTTGTATAATCTATTGCAATCTCTTGTTTCAGTTAGAATGTATGAAGAAAATCAGGCCTCATACAAATATGTATTTGGAAAGGGGAGGAGAAATTTAATAATCTTCTCAGATAATTGTGGATATTCTTCTTCGATACTACATCCAACTACATCGACAAGGGTGGTTTCTTAAAGAGTGGTTGTAATGTGAAATATGTAACTCTATCAGTGAGCTTTTTGTATTTGTTCCATTAAAATCCATGCATCTATCATTTGTGCTGAATGGATCTTTTACCCTTCACTGGTCATTTGGAAAATAGTGGTTCACTGACTTACGCAGACCTTCAAAATGTTAACACGTTTCAGGATACAGTTATTTTTTATTTATTTATTTATTTTTTTTTTTACATTTTTTTTTCAACGTTTATTTATTTTTGGGACAGAGAGAGACAGAGCATGAACGGGGGAGGGGCAGAGAGAGAGGGAGACACAGAATCGGAAACAGGCTCCAGGCTCTGAGCCATCAGCCCAGAGCCCGATGCGGGGCTCGAACCCACGGACCGCGAGATCGTGACCTGGCTGAAGTCGGACGCTTAACCGACTGCGCCACCCAGGCGCCCCAGGATACAGTATTTTTAAAAAATCACATTTGTTCATATTGCCATCAAATTTTATCAGAAAAGTCTAAGTCTTGGAAAGCTGTCAATCTCACAGTGGCAATCTACACAAGTTTTCCAAAATTCTAATTTTCACTTGAAAGTCCAAATTTTATCACTGACGAAAGATACTGTCGATTATTTTCCTTGAAACGACACACTCATTTCATCTTTAAAAAAAAAAAAAAATGACTTCCAACTACCCAAGTCTGAATGATACTAGTTGGTCCGTCAGTCATTCTTTCACATAAGAATGATGCTCCGTTAAAAAGCGGCCAGCTCGGTTCTCGACTTAAACTCTCATACGAGTACTGTTCCTCAACACAAACTTCCCATTTTGGTGTACAGCAGAGTTGCTATATACATACCTCCCATTTTACCTCACAGGCAATTAAACAGATGTGTATTTCAAGTCCAGGTTTCATGAGATGAACGATTTCTACTGCTCCACCAAAGATGTTCTTGAGTGACACAGGCTATTTCTTTTCCCTCCCAGTGGCTGGTCACGAAGAACACAATGACCGGCTAGTACAATGCGATACGCTGCCTGGATTCGTGCTAACACAGGAGCAATTTTACTCACCGTCGCTTTTGTGCCGTCACCGCAAATGTCCACGTAGTGGGCGGAAAGGCAGGTATCATTACTTCAGTATTACGATGAATTATATTACTGATATATCAATATTATGACGAAAGAAGTTTTTACTTTGCAAAATTCCTAAAAGGGGCTCAGCAATCCCCCAGGGCTCTGCACACCACATTTGGAGACACACTCTCCACTCTGACCAGTATTAATTTAATAACCAGGGTGGGAAAAAAGGAGTCTTTTAAAATCCAAAAGTTACTAAGATCAAATGGGATTATCCTGAAAAAGGCATTTAGAAATTACGGGATACATTTTATTGTATCATTGAGACATCAAAAATATCAATAAATCCTGTCATAAGTGGCAGAAATACTTCCTACTTGATTAACGTGAAATGCCCCACAGTAACGATTTCATTAAATGAAAATTTTATTATTTTTCTACGTGTTTTTAAGGACTCAGTACTATTCTAAACAAAAACTGGTGCTCACAAAGGTATACCTCTTTTTTTCACTAGTATTTCTTTAGCTGATAAAAAACAGATGTAACTCTAATATTTTAACTATAACATCTGTAATTATCATTAGCCTATCACCTGGTGAGTATCCTACCTGCACATCCAGGGATTATCTGATGTTGAACCAAGTTCAGATCTTCATCTGACCCTTCTTCGGCCAATTTTGGTTTCTCAGAATCATTTTCCCCTTTATCATCATTATTGTTTCCATTTTCCTCTGCATTACTCCTCTCAGAGTGGCCCTTTATACCAGAGTTCAACTTGATTGCAGTATCAACCTAAACATTATTTCCAAAGAAATACTTTTCATAAATAGGTAAGGTTTTAAAACCTTAGCATTTGTAGACCATTTTAACACTAACGTAAATACATGCGAGGACATACACACATACATACGCTAGTGTTAAACTATTCTAGAAACAGAACTTTTAATTAACTGTAGGTTAATTATGCAAATATAGTAACATTTGCACCAAAAAGACATGCCCCATTCTCCGGCAAGTTCCAGCGATAATGGAGAAGGGTCAGGAATCCGTCCCAGAACCCCTCTCTGCCATCTCTGGACATGAGGCATGATGGTCCCTGCTTCTGGAGTTTACACTCAGATGGAAAGTCAAAGGTCTAGAGCTGCGCTCCCATACAATGACCACCAGCCACATGTGGCTATTGAAGAGTTGGAAAGCAAAGAGTCCGAATCGAGATGTGTTTCTAATGATATTCTTCAAGTCAGAACCATGTGCTTTGGTAATTATTTTTATGCTATTCACAATTTTTCTGTCATTTTGGTTTCTCTTTCCATTTCAGCAATGCTCATTTTGAAAACACCAGTTTGGCACAGCTGTGTTTTCCTGAGAGAGAGCAAGAAAAGACATCCACGGCTGCATCAGGAAAAAGCAGGGATCGTAGTGCCCTGACAGCCATGAGTGGCAGTGAGAGTTACATTAGAAGTGAACATAGTCCAAGAGAGAGGCAAAACCTCAGAGAGATTCAGCCCGTCTGGAAGGAATGCATTTCCCCTCCCAATGGAGGAAACCTCTGCTCCAGGCCATCAGGGCTCGGCCCTTGGAGGGTGGTCAACTCTCGGCCACTGGAATCTGTGTCCCCTTGTGAATCTTCAGGGCAGAAGGTGGATCGTGTGGAGAATTAAACTGCCAGGGATACAAGACTGCACGCGAGCATCTCTGCTTAGCTAGACTAGGACATAAGTCCCAGCGGAACTGAGCTGAGTCAGTGGTATAATGATCAGAGCCAACATTTACTGAGGAATTCCTACTGGCCAGGGCCTGTGCTAAGTACTTTATACACACGGCCTCATTCACTCCTCAACGACACTATGGTATAGGCATTACTAGATCCAGCATAGAATGACACTAGCTGAGGCCCAATTTATAAACAAGCAAAACAATGCCTCCTCTATGTGATCTGGGAGGTGTTAAAGAGGGTTCCCTGTTCAAAAACATACTCTGTGAAAGGCCAGGTTAAAGCCTCAAGTTCCGTAATAACCAGTAAATCCTTAAGGCTATAGAGTTCTGTGAAAATCTTGAAATAGCTAGAAGATGATGCTTATTTATATCTTGGCATAAATGAACTTGGCTGACTTTTCCCTGAGAACGGTTCTTATATAGGGAAATATAGAATATATAACACATAACTAGATATTAGCAATATACTTGGATAGCACACTTCAGGACACAACAAGACTCTCACATATATCATCCCACATGATTCTAACTCTTAGAATGAGCAGGAAGCAATGAAGTAAAAAGACAAAACTGAAGAACAAATGGCAATCTTGGCCCATTTTACAATTTTACCCAAATTTCCCCACTTCATTAGCACCAACCGTCTTTAGTTTATTTGAAAATAAACTAAAAAGAGCTTCCGGAAATTAAAAAGATATCATTAAATTTAAGAATTCAGTGGATCAAAGAGTAGATGTGACACAGCATAAGAAAGGATTCAAAAAATTTTAAATATATGTTAAAAATTCCCCCAGGATGAAGCACAGCAAAATAAATGAATAGAAAATATTTTTTTTAAAAAAAAATGAGAGACATAAAGATAGAAGGGAAAGTTTCAAAAAGACACTTAATGTGACTTTCAGGATGATGAAATAGAAAAAACAGTGGGCAATACTAGAAACTTTTGAAAAAAACAATGGTTGAATATTTTTCAAAATAAACAGAACACACAAATCCTCAGAGTGAAGAAGTACTAGTCTCCAGAAGTATAAAATAAACAAATCCATACACCGGTGAGTAATAGTAGATACTGAACACAAAGAGAAAAAAAAATTAAAGCAACCAGAGAAAAGTATCTAAATGAGACAGCCCACAGTGTAATGAATATCGGATTTCCAAAAGCCTTCTCACTGACAGCAAGAGAGGCCAAAATCACCTAAATGTAAAGCATAAAACTATAACACTTTCAGAAGAAAACATAGGAAAAAATCTCTGGAACCGTGGGTTAGACAAAGAGTTCTTGGATACAACCAAAAAACAAAAACAAAAACAAACAAAAACAAAAAACAAGTCTCAAAACAATGTTGACAAATTGCACTTAACAAAATTTAAAATGTTTGCTTTTCAAAACACATGGTTAAAAGAACGAAAAGTCAAGCTACAGACGAGGAAAAAATATTTGCAAATCACGTATCTAAGAAAAGACTCTATCTCAAAAACATAAAGAACTCTCAAAAGTTAACAATAAGAAGACAAAGACAAGTTTGAAAGTTAGGCAAAAAAAGAAAAAATACAATACCTTTTCTTTTCTTTTTTTTTTTTTCCAACGTTTATTTATTTTTGGGACAGAGAGAGACAGCATGAACGGGCGAGGGGCAGAGAGAGAGGGAGACACAGAATCAGAAACAGGCTCCAGGCTCTGAGCCATCAGCCCAGAGCCCGACGCGGGGCTCGAACTCACGGACCGCGAGATCGTGACCTGGCTGAAGTCGGAAGCTTAACCGACTGCGCCACCCAGGCGCCCCTACAATACCTTTTCCAAAAAAGATACGTGCGTTACAAATAAGCACCTGAAAGCTCATTTATCATTATTAGTCACCAGGAAGATGGGAGTTAAAACCACAATGAGATACTACCATATGCCTATTAGAATAGCTTTTTAAAAAAACTAACAATATCAACTTCTGTGAGGATCCAGAGCAGCTGGAACGCTCCTATATTTCTCATGGGAATAGAAAACAATTTTGCAATTTCTTATAGTTAAACATATACCTACCATACAACCCAGAAATCCAACTCCCAGGTATTTACCCAAGAGAAATAAAAACCTACTCTCCCATAGTAAAAAAAAAAAAAATTCAGATGCACCTGGATGGCTCAGTTGGTTAAACGTCTGACTTCAGCACAGGTCATGATCTCATGGTTCCTGAGTTTGAGCCCGGTGCGGGGCTCTGTGCTGACAACTCAGAGCCTGGAGCCTGCTTGGAATTCTGTGTCTCCCTCTCTCTCTCTGCCCCTCCCCCATTCTCTCTCTCTCTCTCTCTCTCAAAAATAAATAAACATTTAAAAAGTTTTTAAATAGAGCTACCCAGCAGGAGCCTGGACCAGCGAAGCACCGGTTCTGTGCACCGGTTGGGTCCCGTCCCTTAAGCTAGAGCCTCAGAGCCTCGGTGCATTCACCCACCCGCCGCTCACCAAGAATGGAAATCCCCCCGACCCACTTCCCGGCCTCCAGGGCGGCCTCGGTGGCGGTGGCGGAGAATTGCATCAACTACCAGCAGGGGACCCCCCACAAGGTGTTTATGGTGCAGACTATCAAACAAGCCAGCATGGAGGATATTCCAGGAAGAGGACATAAGTATTGCCTTAAATTTTCTGTGGAAGAAATTATCCAAAAACAAGTTACACTGAACTGTACAGCTGAAGTACTTTACCCTCTAACGGGACAAGATACTGCACCAGAAGTCAACTTCACATTTGAAGGAGAAATTGGAAAGAACCCAGATAAAGAAGATAACACATTTTATCAAAGACTCAAGTCTATGAAGGAACCACTTGAAGCACAAAATATTCCAGACAGTTTTGGAAATGTATCTCCAGAAATGAAGCCAGTTCGACATTTAGCCTGGGTTGCCTGTGGTTATATAATATGGCAGAATTCTACTGAAAACACATGGTATAAAATGGTAAAAATACAAACTGTCAAGCAAGTGCAAAGAAATGATGACTTCATTGAATTCGACTACACCATTCTACTTCATGACATTGCATCTCAGGAGATTATTCCTTGGCAAATGCAAGTTCTCTGGCATCCACAATACGGTACTAAAGTAAAGCATAACAGCCGTCTGCCAAAGGAAGCACAACTGGAATAAATGAAGATCCTAACGCTGGATGAAGTGTCAACATGCTTATAAATGCTGTGTACTCCAGATCTTCATGGATCCCTAGCTTATGGGGCCAAATTGCAAAGTGTCACTCTGTATAAATGTCTTCATTACAGTATAGAACTATACAGATTCTGTAACAGTGTCATGATGTACAAGTGTCCCAATACTAATAGTGGTATGTATATCCCATAATAAAAAGCTTCAGTCCCAAAAAAAAAAAAAAAAAAAAAAAAAAAAAAAAAAAAAAAAAAAAAAATAAAAAGTTTTTAAATAAAAAAAATTCAGTATACAAATATTAATAGCAGCTTTATTCATAATCACCAGAACCTGCAAACAACCCAAATGTTGCTCAACATGTGAATGTGTAAACCAACTGTGGTATATCCACACAATGGAACACTAATCGTCAATAAAAAAGGAGTGAACAATTGATATATATAACAATAGAGGAGTCTCAAATTCATTGTGCCAATAAACAAAAGCCAGACTCAAAAGCTGCATACTTTTTAATTCCATTCATATGATTTTCTGGAAAAGGAAAAACAATAGGTACAAAGAACAGATCAGGGGTTTCCAGGATTAAGAGGAAGGGAGATTGAGTAGAGGCAAAGAGGTAGGTAGCATGAAGGAATTTTTGAGGGGTGATGGAACTGTCCTATTTCTTGATTGTGATGGTATCACTCTACACATTTGCCAAACTCAGAACTATACACTGAAAAAGAATAAATTTTACAGTGTATAAAAATTTTAAATTAGAAACAAAAATCAACGAGATACAATGTTAATAGTTAAGATTTAATATCGCAAAGTCACAAACTGTCTCCAAATTCATCTATAAATTCAAAGTAATTTCAGTCAAAAGTCCAAGAGTAATGTTTGCAAGGCCTGAAAAACCAATCTAAAATACAAAAAGAACAAAAAGGCCAAGAATAGCTAAGACAGTTCTAGAAAAGAATAAGATGGAGAGACCCATCCTACCAGATATCAAGAAATATTACACAACTAACAAGCGTTAACCCACAGTAATGATGCAGGATTAGATGAAACAAAACAGAGAGCTCAGCTAGAAATCGTATTTTAACAAGCCACCTGTGGTTCTGGATGCATGTTAGAATCATCCAGTTTGAGATATCTGCACAAGATTTAGACTGCAGACGTGAGGGAGAAGCCATCTTCCCAAGCTCCTGATAGGAAGGTGGCAAGAAATCTCAAAGGCTGCCATCTCCGTATGTCCAGTCACCAGTTTTGTGGTTCTGAGGGACTTGTGGCAGCGTCAGAGGCAGAAGCTTTCTGATCTCTGGATTACAGCCATGGAGGTGTGACCTAGGAACTAACAATCCAAGAGAAGTTTCCTCCCATGATTCCCTTTCCCGCTGGCCCTCCACTGATGCTGGCCTTCCACTGATTTTGAGAAACTGAATTTCTATTATTTAATCCCTGTCTGCTGGAAATGCCTAGAGTGGTCTCTAGTTCCTGCACTAAATCATAACAAATGCTTTAAGAGTTTCGTAAGGTAGAGTCTGGTCCATAAATCAAAAGAATAAATGAGTGTGGATTCATGAGCCTGCAAAGATTTTTTTTACCGTAACGTTTCAAATTTTTGTTTACCACAAGCTTAAAACTAGTACCACATTGCAGATGAAAAACTGATTCTTAAAAAAAAAAAAAACATCAAATTTAGATATTTTAAGAAAAGAAAAATAAACCACTAAAGAAAAGAAAAGGAAATCATGGCCAGGTAAGGTACCGACTAAATATACATTACATGGTCTTTAACCCGAACTATACTTTTTAAATCACTGAAACTTTTTGGTTAGTATCCAAAATCTATAAAGAACTTATCAAACTCAATACCTAAAAACCAATAATCTAGTTAAGAAATGGGCAGAAGACATGAATAGATACTTTTCAAAGAAGACATCCAGATGGCTAACAGATACATGAAAAGATGCTCAACATCACTCATCATCAGAGAAACACAAATCAAAACCACGATGAGATACCACCTCACACCTGTCAGAATAGCTAAACTTAACGACACAAGAAATAACAGGTGTTGTCGAGGAGGTGGAGAAAGAGGAACCCTCTTGCACTGTTGGTGGGAATGCAAACTAGTTCAGCCACTCTGACGAACAGTGGGAAGGTTCCTTAAAAAGTTAAAAATAGAATTACCCTATGATCCACCAATTGTACTACTAAATATTTACCCAAAGGATACAAAAATACAGATTCAAAGTGGTACATGCACCCCAATGTTATTAGCAGCTCTATCAACAATAGTCAAACTATGGAGAGAACCCGAATGTCCATCAACTGATGAAGGGATAAAGAAGATGTGATATATATATACAATGGAATATTACACAGCCATCAACAAGAATGGCAAATCTTGCCATTTGCAACGACATGAGTGGAGCTAGAGTGTATTTTGCTAAGTGAAATAAGTCACTCAAAGACAAATACCATATAATTTCACTCATATGTGGAATTTAAGAAACAAAACAAATGAAGATATGGAGGTGGGGGAAGAGAGGGAAACAAACCATAAGAGACTCTTAAAGATAGAGAACAAACTGAGGGTTTATGGAGGGAGGTAGGTGGGGGTTGGGCTAGATGGGTGATGGGTATTAAGGAGGGCACTTACGATGAATGCCTGGATGTTATACGTAGGTGATGAATCATTGAATTCTACTCCTGAAACCAATATTGCACAGTACGTTAACTAGAATTTTTTTAATTTTTTTAATGTTTATTTATTTTTGAGAGAGACAGAGACAGAGCATGAGTGGAGGAGGGGCAGAGAGAGAAGGAGACATAGAATCCGAAGCAGGCTCCAGGTTCTGAGCTGTCAGACTGAGCCACCCAGGTACCCCTAACTAACTAGAATTTAAATAAAAATTTGAAAAAAAAAAAAAAAAAAAAAAGGATAGGACCCGAATCCAATAAGACTGGTGTCCTTATAAGTAGAAGAAAAAACACCAGGAGTATGGGAGCATGGAGAAAAAGGCCCTGTGAGGATAAGAGAGAAGCTGACCATCTGCAAGTCAAGGAGAGAGGCCCCAGGAGAAACCTAACCTCTTGGCACCTGGATCTTGGACTCCTAGAACCATGAAAAAATATGTTTTTGTTGTGTAAAAAAAATTAAAATTAAAAAATAAAATTACTGAACCATCTTCATATTAAGAGTCAATGTTGGCGGGGTGCCTGGGTGGAGCAGTCGGTTAAGCATCCGACTTCAGCCAGGTCACGATCTCGCAGTCTGGGAGTTCGAGCCCCGCGTCAGGCTCTGGACTGATGGCTCAGAGCCTGGAGCCTGTTTCCGATGCTGTGTCTCCCTCTCTCTCTCTGCCCCTCCCCTGTTCATGCTCTGTCTCTCTCTGTCCCAAAAATAAATAAAAAACGTTGAAAAAAAATTAAAAAAAAAAAAGAGTCAATGTTGGCACAGTAGATATTGGAATACAAAGATTTCTTCTTTTTAATTTTTTTTTTACATTTATTTATTTTTGAGAGACAGAGAGAGACAGAGCACAAGTGGGGGAGGGACTGAGAGCGAGGGAGACACAGAATCCAAAGCAGGCTCCAGGTTCTGAGCTGTCAGCACAGAGCCCAACGCAGGGCTCAAACTCACAAACCGTGAGATCATGACCTGAGCTGAAGTCGGACGCTTAACCGACTGAGCCACCCAGGCACTCCTGGAATACAAAGATTTCTTATGAAAAAAAAAGGAAAAAAGCTTACAGATGAGCATTAACAAAGCATAACTGTGAACAAATAAGCCACACTCCAAAGAAAAATAAAAGAAGGAGGGGGAGCAGGAGGTAAAGAAAGACACAGAATTTTCACATTAAATGGTCTAAAGTAAAATCCAAGAAGAAATCTGTGAGTGTTCCCAGAACACACCCTCTAAAAAGGATCCTTTAGGGGCGCCTGGGTGGCTCAGTTGGTTAAATGACCAACTTCGGCTCAAGTCATGATCTCACAGTTCGTGGGTTCAAGACCTGAGTCAGGCTCTGTGCTGACAGCTTGGAGCCTGGACCCTGCTTCAGATTCTGTGTCTCCCTCTCTCTCTACCCCCTCCCCAGATCATGCTCTCTCTCTCTCTCTCTCTCTCTCTCAAAAATAAACATTAAATAATAATAATAATAATAATAATAATAATAATAATTTAAAGAAGATCCTTTAGATGGGATGTTAACTACAGCCTTGGTTTATCAATTGCTAGAGTTCAGGAGAAGGACTTAACATCATTTCTAAATAGCAAACTACCATGAAGGATGCTGGTTCTGGTGAGAGCACCTCCAAAGAAGCATTTGAACCTCTACTCCCAGGACGCGTTCTTGAACTTGAGGCTGGTTTTGAAATCCCATCTAAGTTTCCCTTTATAATATCCATTGATATCCTGAAACAAACAAAAAATTAAAGCAAGTTATATCTTATATGTATAAATGTTTCATTAGTGCTAATGCGCAATTAACTCAGAACCTTTGTTAATAAGGATTACGTTGCTACCAAAGTCACACTACCCTAATTTCATCAAAAGGTGTCTGTGGCCACAGGTTTTATGCTACTATAGGTGAAAAACATTCTACCCAGGATGTTGGACAAAAGAATACAGACTGCTATCTCAATGGCTTCCTGTGTCTCAGAAAGAAACATTTACTTTGTCCTTGGCCTGAGAAGATACTCAGGGAGCACCATGCCTCTCAACCTAGATTCACGCTTCATCGTAATGATTCGATAAAACCTCAACTTTTTTCTGGTTTTGCCTACCTTATTTTACTAGCGCTTCCTGTTCTAGCTCACCTTTCAGCCTAGGTTTTCCTCTCGGCTCTGATTTCTCCTCTCCCCTTTGGTGCCACAATTTTATGGAGTACCTATCTCCAGGTCACTGCTCTTTTCCTATCAATCCTCCACTTTTAAAACCCATGATTCTACCTCGCCCTCGGAAACAAGAGAAAAAAACCTACTTTCTCTGACAGAGGACAGACACTTATTATCTGGCCACACACATTGCCAATTTCTATTTTTTGTGTGACACCATCCACAGGCTTGTCATCACTGTGGCTCCCTATTCCCAGTGCTGTTTTCTGAAGCAGGAATTATTAGGCAGGGTGGCTTAAACTAGTAGGAGAACAAGGGCATTGCAGGCACACTGATCCTTCCAAACTGTCCATTTGATCAGGACCGTTTCAGATTTGCTCAGTGATGGTGGGGTATCATGCATGCTGAGAAAATGGAAGAAATAGAGAAGTTTCCAGATTCTGGCTTGTCATACTTAACTTTACACATAAACAGATCTTCCAACAATCCTTCCGTAAATTGCATAATTTCACTAACCTTCTAATTATGAATTAAACCATTTCTCTCATAACAGAAAGAGGAAAGGCAATTGGGCCTCTGGCCCAAGCAAGTGTAACAATGTCCTTTTTGTACCCTACAAAATAATTCATCTCTCTTTCTTTCTTTGAACAGCAGAGGAAGAGTCCAGGGAAGTTTTGGACACAGGAGGAAGCACAAACAGAAACAACCTGATGTTCCTCCAAAGCACACAGTGGGATAATATGATTTGGCCTCCAGCCATTCAGTGTGCCAAAGCTGACGCTTAAGGGATCAGCAGGTCAACTCTTTCCATCTTAGCAAATGAAAAAGGCATTGATCTCCACATTATTCAAACTCTGCAAAAGGATTTGGGCTCACTCAGGAAGGCGCTGACATTATTATTGTGGGATGACGGATCACCCTGGCCCATCACGTCACAATCAAAAAGCATAAGTCACCAAAAGGCCAAATGCCTTGTAAATGCCATAAGCAGCCTGTCAAGGGAGACTTATTGTAGCTTACAGAGGGAGCAATGAGATGGAAGCATTTGCAGAGCCAGGATAATACCTGTCAGGAAGGGGAATAGAAGCACAGGGAACCGTCAATGACATGGATCAGCGACAAGGCTCCAGAAACCTTGCAGTTTGCTTTAGTAAGAGGTTTGTTCTATTATGTTTCCTCCGGAAAACAATAAATTAAACAAAATACAGTTCCCAGGATGGGTGGGTATATAACTGAACAACCTTAGGACTTCGCCCGTGTAGAAAAACGTAGTGGAGGAGGGGCGTTGCATTAGGATCTTAAAGATGTGCTTGAATGTTAAAGAAGAAAGCACAGTAGCCCCATAGAAACTCCACAAGAAAAATAAAGCGTTGTCAGAGAAAGTAATCAAACGATAAATACTTATTACAGAAGCACTAAATGTTGATTTAACCAAATACTGTGCCTTACCTATATTGAGTGTATGTAGGGAGGAATATGCAAAAGGAGAGGAAGTAAAAAATATCTAATCTGTCATGATAGGAAATCAAAGAGAACGTCCAAAAACTGACAAAGCCAAGCAATCGTCAAATAAACACAATATTTACAAGTTCATAATGGTTGCTTCTGGAGAGTAAGACTAGGAATTGCTTCTCTTCTTCCTTTGTAAATGTCATAGCAGAGTTTGCCATTTTTTACTATACCACTTTAATAAAAGTAAAAATTGATTTTTTAAATAAAAAATAAATGTAAAATAAGAAATCCCCAAGGGAGTAGAAGGAAACATAAAGATAATTCATGTAATAATAAGTTAATGACTTATTAAACATAAGAGTGTAAATCAAAAAAGGAAGAGACTAGGGGCGCCTGGGTGGCGCAGTCGGTTAAGCGTCCGACTTCAGCCAGGTCACGATCTCGCGGTCCGTGAGTTCGAGCCCTGCGTCGGGCTCTGGACTGATGGCTCAGACCCTGGAGCCTGATTCCGATTCTGTGTCTCCCTCTCTCTCTGCCCCTCCCCCGTTCATGCTCTGTCTCTCTCTGTCCCAAAAATAAACGTTGAAAAAAAAAAATTTAAAAAAAAAAAAAAAAAGGAAGAGACTAATAGTTTTGATTACATAACATTTAATGCTCTTGAATGGAAAACAAACTAAAAAGAACTCTAAAGTAAATTAAAAAGCACCAGAGAAACTGGGGAAATTATATGCAACACAGATAATACACAAAAGGTTAATGAATTTACATACTTAAAGAACTCTTACCAATCAGTAAGAAAAAGAAATATTTCAATAGAAAACTAGTTAAGGACATAAACAAGGAATTAAGGAAAGAAAGAAAGAAAGAAAGAAAGAAAGAAAGAAAGAAAGAAAGAA